TTTTTGAGATCAGTGAGGATGACCACCCACGCACAGTGACCCACGCCCGCGATATTTGATGAACTTTAGACTTGGCTAATGCTTTCGTTTCCCCTGGTGTAAATAGCCGGGGGGAATTAGTACCCTCGCACGGCGCTTCGCGCCGCCGGCTCGGGGACTACATCAGTTGTGAACATATATCCAAAAAGACATAGAATCTGAAAAAAGATATTCGAAAATACAAATGAAGTGTGAATTTTAAGGCTTTTAGAAATGTCATCTATTCGAAGTTTCAACCCTTTAATTTAATTCTCCCTTCTTTCGCCGCCTTCGTCTTTTCGCGCCCGCGTTCTCACTTGTCAGTGATCATCTATACTTCGTGAAGCGTCATGTAGAGTGATAGTATAATGACTCCAAACACTTCAAAATGTTTACAGAACTTCGAGAGAAGAAATAATCGATTATCAAGGGATTCAAGTAGGTTTTTTTAAAATAAATACAATATTATTTCAATCATAACTCAGAGTGGGGCCCCCTGTGATTTAGATGGAGTTTCTGTTAGACTGTTTTTTTTATTGGTTAGCTTTACTTTGTAGTTGTATGCTGGGTCTTAGTTTGAATGCCGTTTTACCACGCGCATTTATAAATAATTTTGCCCGTTCATCTTATCTAGCTGTGGTTTTCCATTTTTTCCAATAATGGAAACGAACGCGACTCATTATTTATGTAAAGCATTGTATGTTCATAAATTAAGTGTTGCTACTTACAACATGCAGACAGAATTTCCTCATATTGCCGCAAGAAAGTTTGTAAAATCTAGTTGTGTTGAAATTAGCAAAGTGATCAGTGATAATTAATGTTTTGATGGATATGCATTGGGAACCATGTTAAACTTGCTTTAAATGACCCCATTGAAAGACTTGCTAAAATAACTTGTTTTAATGTCATTGTGAAATACAGTATAAGCGTATGCTCGCATTGTGTTTGGTTGTAAAGCATAACACAAACACAGGCAGAGTCTTTGGTCGGCGAGCATAACTGGTATAATTGTGTTTTTGCTATTCAAAGTCATTGGCATGTGCACACCCTGGATATTTTACAAACACGCCCAAGTTATAAAATCCTATCTGAGACCCTAGTTGTAGGTGATTGGTAAGTGATTTGTTAAAAAATTGTTTCCCTGTATTTTTATAGGAAGTATGTCTGGTGTCCAGGAAGGGTTGGTGGTAAACGACTTAGTGATTCTCTCTCCCCAATACTTGGTCGATATCATGACTAGCATTCATGACGTCCCGAAGGATCGCAATTTCCAACGGCAGTTCTCGGACGAGTTTCGCAAACTTGAGACGAAAGGTCGAATCGACAGCCATGTTCTGGAATATGTTTGGAAGAATAAAGAAGTCAACGCTGAAATACTTGTCGAACTGTTGTCGTGCTTCAATATACTTTATCCCCTCAGCAATGAAAAGGAAAAAGGTGAGCATTCACGAACGGAGTATATAATACCATGTATGTTACAGAACAGATCGGATGAACGGTGTGAAAAGCGATGGCAAAAAGCCTGTGAAACGTGGAAAGATGAAACGGATAAAGAGCATCACTTTGTTTTTGATTTCGGCCGCTTTCTTCCACCAGCATTGTTCCACTACTTGTTGGTTCACATATATCGCCACAGCTGCAAGACAAAGGCGGTAAAACCTACCATTGAAAGGCAAACAGCGATTTTTTCCTTTTCAAACCAATTCTTGTTTCGTTTGAAGTTGGTTCCAGAACATTGCCAGATATGGGTCTATTCCAGGTAAGCAACAGATTGCCTTGCCAATTACTTACGGGGTGAATAGAAAAACCCAGAGCCTTCGAATCAAGTGTAAATTTTGAAAGCAAAGCTTTGTTTACATTTTGTTTAAAGCTTATTCATTTAGCTTCTCCACGGTATAGGCCGTATTCTTTGGGCAAATATCTGTCAGGTCCGCTGCCATCAGTCTCCATCTAATTTTAATTTATATAAATCTATAGATTTTGACACGCTAAGTATGAATTTCAATGTTGTCACTCGCACAAACCTGCAGTTTTTGAGTATATTGCCACCAAAGTTCAGTATCTTTCACGGCTTCGAAACAAGAT